CATCCCCTGGCTGGGCATCGACGTGTCGCTGCAAGGTGCACTGGCAGATGCCAGGGCAGCGATCGATCACCTTGAGAGCTGAGCTGAGCAGCGCCGTAGGAAGCACGGGCTGCCAAGGGATCGTGCTGCCAGCTCGCTCCTTTCCTCGCTTTGTTCCCAGCGGCCCAGCCTGGACCAGCTTCCAGCTGGATCCTGGCCCTTTGGAAAGGGAAGGAGACTGACTGAAGCTGTGCTTTGCTCCAAATGATAAGTATGGGGGAGAAAAATGGGAAAGAGTTTAATAAAAAAAAAAAAAAAAAAGAGCTGGGAGAAGTTCTTCAGATGGTGCAAAGCCATGTTGCTGTCTGGAGAGGGTGCGGAGCACTGCAGGTAGGACCAACAGAAAATCACCATTTTCTCATGCTCTTCGCCTTGGTATGGTGTCAGATGCTTCTGGGAGCCGAGTCAGATGGGTCAATTCATGCTGGCCTTTTTATCATATAGAGGACATGACATTCCTAAAGTTTAAAACCACGCAGTGAAAGTCCAGAGCTTCTTGAGCTAGTCCCAGGCTGGTCGTGTTCAGGAGGAGCAGCGAGCAGCGTGCTGAGCCCTGGCTAGCAGGGGTCTCGCTAGGTGAGACCTGCTCTCCTCCCGAAGGCCGCCTGTCAGTTTTCTTCTCAAACCACAATCAAAACACCCCTGTGTTCTGTTTGAGACTTAAAACAGCCAGTGGTTTGCTGCTTTCACATAAAGGGCCTCTGTGCAGGGGGTTGTATGTCTGTTAAGACACTGGGGCTGGTCGCCCCTTCCTGAGCTGGAGCTTACAGGGGACCGGGGGGCTTCCACGCTGGCCTCCCCACACGGGAAACGAAGCGGTGCTGGGGCTCCCGACTGTGTGGGGGCTTGCTGGGGGGCTGCTCAAAGGGATGTGCTTGTAGCCCTCCGGCCCCATGGCTGGGGCAGGGAGCTGGGCTCCCAGCCTTGTGCCCATGGACGTGGCCACCTCTGCCAGTGGCTCCTCAGCTCTTTCTCCCTTCCCACCCGTGTGGGTTCGGGGCCATGCTGGGCTGGGGCCAGAAGCACCCTCCCCTCTCCACCACCTCGGAGCAGCTGTCAGAAAGTTGTTTTGGAGCTTGGCAGTGCTTTGGGGAGGAAGCCAAGCTCTGCATCTGAAATAATCAGAGTATCCTGAAAAATAGGTCTGTCTGACGGGGCTTCTATATTTGGGTTTCTGTTCCTAGTGGTTGCACAGAAAGACTTGAAAACATGCACTGTACAGACCAACAAAACATAAATCTGTCTTCTTTAAAAAATTGCAGTCACTAGGCCAATCTCATCCTTCAGTACCTAGCGAATGATTTTTGAATGCATCCTTCTGGCAAAACTGAATACCTCCTTATAGCTGCAGTAGATAAGTTTACATCAGCTTATCCCCAAATGACTGAGTTCCCACATCGGCCTGTGCAAACTGCCTTGATTTCTTTCAAACAAAATAATATTGTGCAAACAACATAGCTTTATCTAACTGGGCTGTGACAGGTTTCAGGTTTCCCACCCCAGCCACCTTTTCGCAAGCACAGTGGGGTGTTTCAGATTGAATACGGCTTGCAGATATTTTTCTCTCTTCTTGAATTGCACTCATGTGCAAGTTCGTTTACGTGGGTGGAAATTGTGCGTGTAACCCCCTCGTTCTAAACTGTTGGAGATGACCATGTATTTATTAATTTAAAACCAGGTCGGTGCTGTGGTTTGCGTGGAAATTGCTGAGCCTTGGTCAATTTTTCAGTGTGAAATCCTCCGGGAGATCAGGCCCTGAGGTCAGCTCCTGCAGCAGCTGCAGGCTCGGCTGCGAGGGGCACGGAGCAAAGGCCACCAGCTCTAGTGCCAGCTGGGACCTGCGCTGTCACCTCTGCAAGAGTTAAGGGGTAGCTTGTGCTGAGTGTAGCTATACCTGGCCTAGAGTCTGCTTTATCACGACCCCTTCTGCACGCTTCCTCGGCAACAATCAGCTTCTTCCTCGTTAGGCAGAGAACCAGGCCTGGCTGCGTGCTGATTGCTGCACACAAGCTGCTTGGCCTGGCTCGTGGACACCCCTGGCTGGCAGTACCAGGGCCATCTGCCCAGCATCCAGGTGACTCTCCCTGGAGTTATTCAGCTTGTGAAGAGCCTGACTGCGCCCCGGTGCTGTGGAGGCCCCTCGGGTGGCTACTTGGGCTGAAGGCACCCAGCTTTCCCACCTGCAGTGGGGCTGCATTGAGGCAGCCCGAAGGAGTTTGGGACGCGTGCTCCACGTGCGGACAGCTCTCGTGTTCGGCACCACGTGTACCCCCAGCTGTGGAGGTGTTTGCTGGAGAGTGGCGAGGGTAAGGAGATCTGGCCTCCATTTCTGCTTCTGCCATTGGCTTCCTGTGCAGTTTTCCCACAGGTACGGGGGGCTGTGTCCCCAGAAGGCTGAGAGGACAGGCCAGCCGCTCAGCCCTGGGCTGCTGGCCTCCCTGGCCTTCGGTTATCGCAGTGCAGGAAGGTGCCTCCTGCCCCCAGCTGCCTTTCATTGCACCTACAGCATGAGAGCACCAAGTGCATGAGCCGAGGGCTCCGGTCTTCTGCAGCGCAGGAGGGCTCCAGCGGGAGCAGAGGAAAGCAGCCCCCGCTCTTACTGGTTAGTGGCAGCAGTACGGGCGGCTCAGGAGCTGAGAGCCACCTCCTCAGAGGCAGGTTACCACTCCCTGTAGCTCTTTTCCTAAACTGTTTCCGATTTATTCTGACTAGTAAGAAGTGAACATGTATGTGGAGATACGCCGTACGGTTCTGGACCCGCCACTTCTCTTCTCTTTGCCGAAATGCACGTTTATTTAAAAGTTCAGTGCGGGTAAGCTGAGCCAAAACCCTGACGTGTGCTCCTGGTGAATGTGCTATAAACATTTCCCTAATACTCTCAAAGGTACCCTTTCTGTCTGAACTTGAGAGCAGGTAAACTTCCCAGAAAACATTGTAGTCAATGAATTTTTACATCACAGGGTCCCTCTCACACTCCTTTCCTGTGTTCTTTTTTCTTCTTTCCTTTTGAAGTGGAAACCGTATTCATTTTCAAAGTAGATATGTGCAGTCAGCAATGATGAAAACGAAGGTAACTGTCAAAAACACTGCCAGAAGGGATTTCTCCACTTTAATTTCTGCTTACATTATTAAGACAAGTAAATTATCTTTTCATGGAATGTTTCCTTTTTTTCTGGAAGCACTACTGATAAATGATGTAATATTCAAGGCCCTTCTCCACAGCTGTTGGAGGCCCAAAATTTTGATTCCCGACACCACAATAGACACAGATGCCAAGTAAAACCTTAACCTGACTTTCATGATTAAATGTGATGGTACTGCAGGAGGAAATAAGGAGTCTACAAATATTATTCTGAAAGGAGTTGATTCAGCTTCTCCCCACCCCAGTATTTTGGGAGCCTGCTGCTGCTGTTCCAGGGATTAGGAAGAAGCCAGGCACGGTTCTGGATGGGTGGCTGAGAGGGGCTTTCTGTAGCTGCATGCCAAAACACTATTTAAAAACCACCGTGACAGGAGCAAGCTAGCTGCTGTGTCAAAGCCGACTCCTGCTATTTTTATCACTGAAATCGTAACCTGTTCTCAGGAAGGGATTTCTTTCCATGCTACTTTCAAATTCATCTTCAAAACTCAGGGGATTTCTTTTGGGCTCGTTTAGGAAGATGAGTAGCCTGGGGAGAAACTCCCGTAGGCTGACAGGATAATACAGTGCCTTTTTATGGCAAGGGGTCCCTTTTCTTTTCTTTTTTTTTTTTTCTCTCTCTTTTTTTTTTCTCTTTTTTTTTTTTCCTTTTTTTTTCTTTTCCCTAAATTCTCTGCTGAAGTTTGCATAGCAGAGGCCAACTTTGCTCTGCATCTTAGATAATTTAGGTCGGTTGTTGACATTGTAGCACAAGTAGCTTATGGTGTAGGTAAGAGCTGCTTAACTCATTGCAAGAAGGGATGGATACGTTTCCCCCTGCCCCAACATAAACAGTCCCCACGCCTTCCAAGCAGTATTTGGGAGGTTCTCTTCACATCTGACACTGTGCGATTTACTTCCCTTGTCAGGTGAATGGGTTTGTCCCTGGTGACCAACACCGGTGCCACGCAAGTCCCCTGTGTCCCAGGGCTGTGTTGCCCTGCTGCTTCTTGCAAGAAGTCTTGAGCACCAAGAGCGCCAGCTTCTGCTGCTGTCTGCCCTCCGTAGGCAGAAACGCAGAGTGCCTGGGCTGCGTGGGAGTCAGCTCTGTCCTGCTCGAGGGCCTTGCCCTTTTGCTTCAAAGATCGGGAGAAAAATGATGCCGTTTCATCACTGTAATTGGCTGGAGCCTCCTTGTTTGTCTCTTTTCTATCTAGATAAGCAATCTTTAAGGGGAAAGCTGATTCATAAACTCATGGCATTTTAGGCCTAGGAGGCTGTTATGGCCACAGAGCAATTAACAGGTTGTGGGATCACCTAATAACTCTCGTCTTGACGGAAGGAGAGAGTCAGTCCGGCTCTGGCTACCTTGTTGTCTCGCACCTAGCCTGAATGCAGGCTGCTGGGCTGGCTCCGTGGCATCTCTGCCAGCTGAGCAGAGCTCTGCCCTGCCTCTGTCTGGCGGGGTAAGGAACAGTGGGCTGGGATCCAAGGGCCCAAAGAGTGAATTTCAGGGGAGCATCCACATGAAACATCTACCTGGCTCTGGGTTAATCTTTACTGCTGCTCTTCCTTGAAACCATTCCTCCGAGCAATGCTGATTTTAAATGTGAACATCACCCAGAGGGGTGGGGGAGGGATATACAGAAAGAACCACTGAATTTCAGGGGTTCAGACCTAGGTAAGGTTTCTCAGGTTAACTATCAAATAAGTTCAACTAGAAAGCTGATTATTCTTTTCCTGATACTGTACACCAAAGACATTTTGGATCCAAGCCACATTCACTGGAGGACAACTGCGTGAGAAATTTTAACCAGACAAAATACTTTTTTGGAGTTCCAACACGTCTTGCTAATATTCACAATCTTCATCTGACTTCTGAGGGTGGTCTGCCTGCTGACCATGACCTCGCCCAGTGCACGTGGAAGCACGAGAGCTTTCAAAAACTGGAAAAGTTTTGCAAGGGGTCGTCTTGGGCACGTGTCAGATATGAGCAGCTGCTCCATGCAACTTGATTTTATTAATTCTGCCGAGGATGTGAAGCCCCCAAGGAGAACCCAGGAGCTGGTCTGTGTGCATTGCTGTGCACGGCAAAGAGGGAGGAACAGGGAGGTGAGTGGCTTGTAGGGGGAGCTGCAGAAGGCTCGCAGTGGGCAGAAGTGCCAAGTTAAAGCATTGAAGACATTGCATCGACATGGTGCAGTGAGCACGGGTTTCTCTCAGAAGATCTGTAAAAATGGGAGAGGAACTGCTCAGTTACTCAGAGCTTACCTAAGGCATTTCCCAAGTGCTTGTTTATCCAAACGCTAGCTCTCAATAAGAAAATACCACTTATGTAAGTGCGAGGAGGAGGAGGGGAAAGGAGTTGTCGTTATGAACAGCCTCTGAAAACACCCAAACCTTTCCCCTGGTGTTCAAGATCCCACTCAAAAAACCTCTCAAGTAACAGCAAACGCCGGGCTTCCCAAGGCACCAAAGACCCGACCTGTGGCCATTCACACCCTTCAGTAACTGTGCCCTGGGACGTGATGGGCTCCAAAATATCTGGTCTCTTGTGAACTATGCTCAAGATGCATTAAACAGCAGCTTCTCTGGTAGCAGCAGCTCCAGAGGCAAAACAAGCGAGGCTAAACACGCGTGTGATTCATTGCACTGACTTCAAGTTGGGTTTGGATGCAGCCGGCACAGCTTCCTGGTGTGGCAGTGCTCCCCAAGAAAACCTTACGCATTCTAGGTGGAGGTGTTGACTTCAGCGCATGAAGTCAAGCGATGTTTAGCAACAGGCTTTGATGAGAGCAGGACCGCTTCTGTCACATCCCAAAGACATTACCTAACCATCTGCTTTCTAAATTCCTGGGAACTGCCCAGCGAGAGACTAATGGAGCCAGCCAGACACATGCACACACCAAAATGAGTTCTGCCGAACACCTGGGGCCAACACCTCAGCTGCTGTAGAAGGGCAGCAATGACACTAAGCTAATTTATAGCAGCTGAAGATTTGGCCCAGGAATGCTATTATTTTTCTATTTAAAGCGGTGCTAGCAATTTGCAGGAGTTTGTTATTAGGAACGGGCCAAATATTTCGGAGGAAATTATGGAGTAATAACAACCACAGAACCTAAATTAGTTGTTTTTAAGTTATAAGAGCATAAAATAATAGCATCTGACACCACTAACCACTATTCTTTTTTGCACTCCTTAAAACTTCAGATGCGCTTTGCCAAACCAATTGTTTCCAAATTCTGTCAAAAATATTGTCCTTGGGCAGAAAGCTTGGATGCTAAATTTCAACCCAGTATGATTTTTATGGCTGAGTGACAGAAACCTTGAAAAGGGGATTTATAATGAATACAACCTTAACTACTGTGGCGTGAACAGTGCTGCAATTCTCATTAGCTGAGCTTTTTTTTCCCTTTTTTCTCAGAATTTCGGAGGGTGGGGCTGGCTGTAGGAAGTAGTTGACTGGTGTGTACGCTTCTGTCATGGCAGGAAAGGAACTCAGCAGCTTCATTTCCCCCTTTCATCTCTGGACATCTGTCTGGGTTCAAAGATTGTTGTGGGTCTGAAGCAAGAGGATTTCAGTAGGGTTTTTCAGGCCGTGGCCACGAGCGTGGGCAGGCTGCGCGTACAAGCCGAGAGGTTTCGGCACCAGGAGCTGCCTCTGTCCTCCTGTTTAATGAGGTTTATTCACCGGAGGATGGCGGAAGGCTGTGGATTTGAAAACAAGCCTTAGCAAAGGAGGAGGCAGAAAGACCAGAAAGCGGAGCATCTGCCAGGTTCCCATTCCGCTCAGCTTTGCTGCTAAACTCCAGTTTTCAGGCTGTGGGCAAAGGAAAGTCTCTGCCTTTGTGTATGTTAAACACCAGGTGTGCAGGGTTGGGAAGTGGGAGTGGAGAGCTGGCTGGAGGATTTTTTTTGCTGTGCATTTGGACTTTGGTTTCCCAGGAGCAGTGAGCGCAGTCACGGAGCTCTCGCAAGAGGTGGTACGAGTGCATCCTCCATTTGAAGGCATCTGTTCAGCACGGCACAAGGTTCAGTGCAAAAAATAAAGCCTTGAGAAACAGTTTGTTAAAGAAACATGAGGCTTTATAGCTCCGCGTAGCTCTGAAGCAGGATTGTGGCCTTTCTTTGAGAAGTTCCCAGTGTAAATATCACCTTAGGTATCCAACTTAGCAGCTCTCCAGTTGGGACCTCAGCCTTGGTGGCAAAAACTAGATGGAAACCGAAAGCCCTGGAGTACAAAATGAGTTCTATAGTGCACCGGGTCTCCCCAGCACGGTCTGCGGGGATGGGAAGATGGCACATGTGGTGAGTAATGTCATAATCATCACACAGTAGAAAACAAATCCAAGCAAAAGGTCTTAGAAGTCTTTCATCTCTACTTTCCCAAGCCACAAATGGCGAAATCCTCACATGTCTTGCTCAGATTGCTTTTGAAAGTTGAGAACTTCCGTCCTCAATGGGAGAGGCAGAATGGGACTGAAATTGCCCTGTTAATGAAGAAACCATTAATAATAACTGCCTCTGCTGAAAGCTGTTCTCATGGTGCCTTCTCTTGGTGCCTCTGGTAGGAAGGGAGAAGGCTTTAGCGATCCCAGAAGGATCTGTCCTGTCTGACTATAAAACTCATACAAATTCTTTCAAGATGATGAGAGAGGCTTCCCCCAAAATGAGCAGCCCAGTTCACAGCTTCCTAACACGTGTACTTTGCAGCTGATGGTTTGAAATGCTTTATCTTGCTCTTGGCATCTTTTTTTTATGAATTGTTTTTTTTTTTTTTTTTTTTTCTCTTGTAAAAAGAAAACTTTGTGGTGATTAACTCAGGAAAAAGCAAATGAAATCTGAGGAACTTGACTGTCACCTGGATGGGGAGGGGGTGAATCCAGTTCAAGGTGAAGACTGCGAGCTGAGCGCAGCGAGGTGCCATCCCCCAGCCCTTGATACCTAAATACACCCGAAATATTGAAGTAGCAGGAGACTGGGATGTATTTCAGCAGCTCGCTGTAGGTTGTGCATACTCTGCTGCCATCTGGCTAGCGTCGAGCCCTTCGATCCTACCTTGGCAGTACAACGAGGAAGCTTTCCTTGCCTCTGTTTTGCGGGTGGCTGGGAGATCGCTTCACACGCTCACACACAAACACTTGCAAATATTGCTTCTCTGCCACAGTGCGGTGGCTCACGTACCCCAGTACACCACTGATGTACTTGGTTCAAGAACTCTCTTTTATTTTTATTTTTTCACCAAGGAATGGCCATTTAGTGCATTGATGCAGCCCTTGGTCTTCAGCAATTTTCTGTCTTCAGAGCTTTGGGGGTCTGTGTGTGTGATCTCCATTTGACTGCTAATAGGGGCAGCCTAAGAGAAAGCACCTGCCCGCATAAAGGCGTCAGTGCATGTGCTTTGCCTGGCCTCTTCTTTGGGACCTCCTCTTCCACCCGCCCTGTGCTTGAGTAATCCAGAAAGGGCCGCACCAAACCAATGCAGGGCAAGGGGAAGCGAATAAACACCGTCGTGTTTATTTCTATCCTCTTACTATCAGATGCAAAGAACAACTTCAAAGCAACACATAACTGAGTTAGGTGATGCACCAACAATAATTAAAACGCCCCTGCAGGAAGTCGTGTCATTGAAAAAACAACTGCTTCAGAAAGCAATAACAGTTTTCTGCCAAAGGCGTGTGAAGCTGCTGTATCTGGGCCTTGACGCAAAGAAATAAAACTAAAAAAAATGGCACTTGCTTCAATCCGTCCCTGCTCAGGACAACTGAATAATTCTGAGACTCTGCTGGTTACCGAGGTGCAAAATTGAGGCCCCAGCAGGCTGTGACAGAGACATCTCTGAGCAGAGCAGGCTTATGCAAGAGAGGAGAGGCTGTTGGAGGCGTCTCCTGGGGCAAATCGAAATGTGAGGGCAGTGAAGGGGCTGTGTGATGCCTGTCTTGGCTCTTGGAGCATGAAGCAGAGTAACAGTGATGTGCTGTTACAACATTGCTGAGCGTCTGCAGCATGAAGCAATATTCAGGTGGGAAACATAGATGGCTGCCCATCATGAAGCACTGTACCGGTGATGGGTTGCACAGAGGCTAAGTAGGTTGCCAGCTCCACGGCCCTGCCTGGACAATCACTGCGGCCAGTTCAGTGTGACACCAGCTTGTTCTTGTCTTCAGCAAGCAACATCCAAGCCTAACAAGCCAAGCAAAAAGCCCCACCAGGCTCTGGATCATGCTGGTGGGCCTTTGTCACAGCTAGACAAAATGGTCCTTTACTATTAAAAATCATCTGTACAGCTTGCTTTACAGCCCGCATAGCTCTAGCTTTCTGTAGATGCCATAAATCTCAGTGCTCTCTTCTCCCATTTTTCTTTTTATAGTCAGGATTGGAAAGGATAGATGTTGCTGAATGATTATTGTGCTGACTTTGGGAGCCTTTACTTTGATGTCAAGTTGCACTGCTTATTTAAAGAGTAGCAATTATAAAGGGAAGGAAATTGTTGAGGAGATCTACCTGTAGGAAAAAAAGAAAAAGCAGTTGCTGCTGTTTTCTAGTTTATAAATCTAGTTTAAAGCACAGATGCTTAGGAAAAAAAAAAATGAATACATGTCACTTCGAAGAGAGGAGTTATTCAGAGCTTGAGCAATAGGCCCCAACAATGAAGTTAAGTTGCAGACAAAAACCATGTTTTATCAATCAACTGCTACTTTTAAGTTTGACAGCTTTTGTAAGCAGGAAAATGTCAATTACATAAGATATTTGAACCTGTGGAAATAACCCATGGAAACACAAAATGTCTGTTCACACATCAAAATGATCCAGACTTGAAGGAAGTTAAAAACCAGAATGCACTAAGGAATTATCTGACGGAAAAATGGAAACTTTGTTATGAATTTTCAAGAAATATTGGCTAATTAATTTCTTTGGTGAGTTTATAAGGTTATTTAGGATTGGAGAAAATGAGGTAACTTCCCTATTTTTCCTGATGTGTAACAGCTATGGAAACACTTTGAAATGAGTGTCCCATCATTATGAATTCATTTGGTTATCCTTTTAATAACAATGATTGTACTCAGGCACTTTATATGAATGTTACATCCCATCTCTTTCAGGTGCTGCTTGGTCACTCCATTGAGCATTTGTCAGCTGGGTCTTATTAAATTGCCATTAAGGAAGAAAGAGCTAAATACCTAGTAACAACATTGAAAGGGGAAAAAAAACTAAAAAACACGTAGGCTTGGACCTGGAAAATTAGTTCTTATGGAGTAGAAAATGCTCTATTGAAGTTAACAAAAGCACTGAAACGTACTGCTACCACGCATCGCCGCGTGCAAAAAAACTGCCCAGAGCCTGGTTTGACAGAGCCCGGTCACATGGATTGACTCAATGTTTGTTTTTTGCCCTCAGTCTGCCTTTGTGGGATGTAAACAAGACGAGATCTTTGGTAATGGGTTTTATTAGATGCGACTGATGTAGCTGGAAAAAGCAGATGCAAACTTACAGGCTTACGGGCTCTTCTTCAGGTCTTCTTCAGAAGCATGTGATTTAATACAGCGTGTTTTGGGGAGTGTTAGACCAAGCTACCACCATCTAGCAGTGCCAAGCAGGGCTGTCCGCATGGAGACCTAATAACTAGTAGCAAGTTTACTGTGAATTCAGCTGCCAGCGCACGTTGTCTTTGCTTTACGAGTTAAGCTGAACATATTAGGATGGCTTTATATCTGCAGAAATGCCCATGCAGAGTTGTGATGCTATTTGACGGCTCTGATGAAAATAAGCAAACTCCTGTTTAAAACTCTAGGCGCAGGAATGCAAAATTAGTGCCTGAAATTATACAGTCAAACAAATACATTTCCAGCAGCGAGGAATATAGCTTGTAGCTTATTAACATATCTGGGAAACATTTCCCTTTTTCCATGGAAAATTTAACATTGTCATTAAAGACTAAACATTTTTAGTCTAACCTGGAAAGTTTTCAGCACGAGGCTGCAATGGGAAAGTTTTCAGCCAAAAATCTTCTTTCTCTTGTAGATTTTAATTTTTATTTTTTTTATTATTTTTTTTTTTTTTACATTTTCTATGAAATGTTTTTCCATTAGCTAAAACAGACGTATTTTGTCTTAAAAACAAATCTGATAGAAATACTTAATAGCACAGTTAAGATTATTTAGTTTAGGAGGATAACAAGCTCTACAAGTGGAGGACCCTCATCTTGCACATGGCCTTAGCATCAGGCACCCAGAGTCCAGCGTTTTTGCCTTTTTGCCTCAAACTTCTCTCCTGCCAAGGGAATGGTGCTGCATAGCCAAAATCTTCTGCAACCCCCCAGCACACTGATGCTCCACGAGGGACTGAGCATACGGCAAGTCAAGCCCCAGCCCCGCACAGTCAGTGGCTTGCCCAGAGGGAGTGGCCACAGGGCCACGCTCAGCAGCCTTTGGGTTACTTCAGAATTGGCTCGGAGGTGATCCAGGGAGCCTACAGCCAACTTTATGCCAGCAAAACATCGCAGCACTGGGAGCTCTTTCCTTACCTCCCAATGTAAAAGATGACTCTGGCTTCTCACCCTTGCTAACCAGGCCGAAGGAGACACTGTGCCCATCTGCTGCCCTGATGTGGTGCAGCCCTGCTGAGCACCACCTCCCTCAGAGTAGCCCTGGGTGCACCCAGGTTATGCCCTTGCCAGGGTGCTGCATTGCACGAGCAAAGGGCCCTCCCGTGGAGCCACCCCAGGAGCTCAGCAGGTGAGCTGTGCTAACGGGATTAGTGCAATTAACCCACCTGGTTAGTGTATTTGCTCATGGCAGTGCTAACTAGCCCTCACTCAATCATCAAGCACCATGAACGTGCTCTGAGGCTCTTGCTACCTAGGGGAGAGCCTTTTTAGGATTGTGGAGCACTGGCTCTGATACTCATCTTAGAGCAAGTTCCCATCAAGCCTCCTGACATCATTGGGTATGATTGCTGACACCTGTTTGGTAAATAAAATTACATCAGATCTTTTCAGCACCAGGCTGTTAAAAGAGAGCTCTAGCGCAGATGTAACCTCCAGTATGAATAGGAGAATTCATTAGGCATCAAGGCCTTTAAACTCATCAGGGTTAAACAGCAATTTACCTCACACCATAACTGTTAGCAAGTGATTTAGTGACAAGGAATTGACGAGGTACATTTCCCTGGAGGGCACAATAAATAATTTTTTTTCATCCCAAAGTGTTTTTGCAGAAATGTTTATGTAGTCAAGTATTCAAAGTTAATTCATTTCCAGTAGTTTGACAGAGGGTTTTTTTTTTTCAGTGACCGATGAAAATCTTGTGTGAGTTCATCTCTTTTTACAGTATTATTTGGTGAACTTTTCCTGCATGATCTAATCTCACAGTGGAAAACTAAATAAAAGTTTATTGGTAAGCAGGAATGAGTTCACTGGCCTGCTCAGCTGGCATTATAGACGAAAACAATGCTTTGACGTTTTGGAAGTAGTACTTTGCATTGGTTTTGGAAGCTGCGTTGGTGATACTAAGCAAATTGGATGCAGCATTTCTAATTGTGCCATAGATGTCCTTGGGAAGCCCATCAGGGTGATCTTAGCTGACTTTCAGACTCTCCATTTCTATTGCAGATGGAAAGAAGAAGCCTGCAGCTATTCCAGTTGTCACACAAAATCTTTCCATTACTGTTTAAAGGGTTTCTTTACAGTCGTTTGAGTTTTGTTTCTGCTTCTTTCTGCAGAGGCTCGTTGAATTGAGTAATAGTGGGAGGCCATCCTGGGGCAAGAGCCATGTTCCTGCAGACACCTTCCAAAGGGACCAAGGTAGGAGGATTTCTGTGCTTCCTTTTGGATAGTCCAAGCAAAGAGCCTAACTCAATTAAAAATAATAATAAAAAAAAGTCAAGGTTTTAGTAACTGGATCTCAGATTTACATCAGGTCATGTGTCATCATGGATAAACTTACCTGTGGGGGGACTTTCCATTAATACTGAACTGATTCAAAATGAAAAAACTTATTTTAAGGTGTTTTTGTGAATTTTGTTGTAGTTCTGTAGTTTTTGTAGTTTTGTTGTGATTTTTTTAGTAGTTAGTAAAATGGAAAGTTTCATGGAGAAAATTTTTGAGCTTTCATCACTCCAAAATTTCTCCCAACAGAGCATTTCCAGCAAGCTCTAGCTATTAATATATGTTAAAGCGAATGGCAAATGGAGGGGAGTTTGAAACGTCAGGCTGGCAATGGTTAATTAAACAGCACTTTGCTGTGTGCCCATTAAATTCAAGTAATGCCACTCCAGTTGCTGATTTAAGGCTTTTGAATGACAAACTACTTAGCATGAAGCTTGATTTGTGATCATTATTGACTTAATTCACAGCTTTCACTTTCAGAGCGGTTTTGAACTTCAGAATCCTTGGGTTAAACTTTTCAGTTCATTACTTTTTACTTTTTTTTTTTTCTTTTTTTCTTTTTTTTTTTTTTTCGCCAAACTAATAATCTGCCAGGTCCTGTATGGAAAAGGGCATGAATTTATGTTGAGTGTCTGTTACTTTTTACTGTGATTGATGTTTATTGTGATCTCTGCCAGGGTGCAAGTCCTGTTGCATCTTTGATAAAATGTTGGCATAGCAGCTTTTGACGTTCACAGCAGATGGTTTTGGTGGTTAGTTTCTCACAGTTGTGATGGCAAAAAGCAGAACGATGCCTTCAAACAAAGTGTGGGTTCCCTGCAAGAGAAAGCCTCCTAGGCTAGGGCTAACGCGGTACATCGCCGTGGTGTGGCTCTAACAAAATGCAAAGAACCTGAAATCCTATCTGAGCAGCGTGGACTGAAACTTCTCATTTTCTCTTCTGTGCTGAGTTAATGCTGTTCGCGTATTATGTAAGTGTCCTATTTTTTTGAGAGTTTTGCATGCAAGCCCAGTCTTAGAAGATCTTTTGTGTTTTTATGGGCAAGAAGTTTATGTTTTAACCGCTTCACATGCAAGTAGGAAGCTACCTACTTCCTAAAAGGATAGCTCTGTCCCATCAGCAGGGTCCCAGGTGCTGCTGCCAGCTGGGGATGTCCGCGTGTCCCCCCTCAGCTGTTGTTACCAGATGCAGGATGCTCTCTTCTAGCTCTTTGCCCAGGGGGCCTGCGTGGAGGCGTAGAGGTTGTGCTGGAGGGAGGGAAGGTATTTCGCAGCAGCTTTGGGTGTCCCCAGCAGCCTCTTTAGTAGGAATCTCCCGCTGCAAAATTTCTAATCAACTGCTCATTTCCACTGAAAGCTGCGCTTGCAGTGACCAGACCCTCCAACGTACTGAGATGCCTGAATCACTCTGTGGTGAGTAAGCCCCTCTGGAAGCAGGATTTAGCCTTTTTAAGCCATGTAAATGTTTCTGCAAATCGCATGTTGGTTCATGCAGTAACGGGTGCTGATGCTTTCTTTGGCAGTCACGCTGACGGTCGTATTCAGAAAGCTTCAACCGGTTGTTTTCCGGTCCTTGCTAATATTTTGGGTCAAGAGTCATGTCTGTCAAACCCTTCCTATAGCACTTGCAAGCCTGAAATACTTTTTACAATGTTAATGAGGATGGGAGAGGACTTTTCCTGTCCTGGGAACAGGCTTGGCATAATAGTTTTCTTGTGTCCATGTAAGATCTGTTCTGTTGATGGGGTGGAAAGAAAAAGCCCCTACAAAAACAGTACTTGGAGTTTGCTGCTTTCTGTACACACATCCCAGTGGCAAATGACTTCCCTCCAAATGCAAGCTCACGGTGAAAGAAGGCAGCAACAAAAGCACCAAGGTAATCTGGAGGCCGTGAGGGAAACATTCCTTCTTCTGGCTGCCCTATCTAAATCCCCGTGGAAACACGGCGTATCATGTTTTAATCCCCAGAGGTTTCCTGCACCATGTTATTGGCTTGGGCTGCTCGTTTCCCACCCTCAAGCAGGCAGAACGACAACACGGGCTGCTGCTCTTGTGTAGCTGTGTGGCTTTTCCCAAGAGTTAGGAGATTTTGCCTGCGACCAGCTTCCCACTCGGTTGACACCTCCTTATCTGAAGGCCAGGCGCTTGCAGAGGCGGGCAGCGAGGCTGCGAAGCTCAGCGCTGCCCCGAGTGCTGCTCCTGCGCTCCGCTGCCTCCGAGGGATTATTTAATGGCTTGTTTCCCAAGGGGATTAAGCTGAACCTGATAAAAGGCGCTATCAGCATCCACCCACGCAGACATTGATAAGTGTATATTCCATCCGAGCTGCCCTCCGTTTCTTTTCCAAGCTAGACAAGCTCCAGAGCAGGGATTTCTGAAAGCATCCAAGAGGCTCAGCGACACATAAGCTGTCTGATTTTTCAGCAGGATTCGTGGTCCTCTAAAGACCATCTCTAAAGATAGCCAAAGATGACAGAGTGTTTGCAAATACTCGTTCCTGTTCTGGACAGCCGTTCGAGCCGGCCACATTCGTTCCCCATTTCTTGACCATGTCTCTGGTTTAAGATGTCTGGGAATTCACGCCAAAACCCGTGCCTTCGCACCAGCACCGATGCTCTCTTGGGACTTGTTCCTGGTTCTCTGGTGGCTGGCCAAGAATCAGCACCTAGTAATGAGCAGCCAAAGCAAGCAGCACGTTAACATCCCACAAGCTATAACAGATGAAATATCTGACAAGCATTTGCGATTAAAATAGGATTTATTTTCTTTTTCTATGGTTAACAAAAGAAAAAACGAAGGAACAGAAATGAAATGCTCTGAATGCTGGTGTTTATCCCACTTGCATTTTTTCATCTAATAACTGAGCTGTATAGATTTAGTTGATACTTTGAAAATTTGTTTTCATAATTGAGATGGGGAAAATTATGTATTTTTAAAGCAATTGTTTTCTTTTTCTATAATAGCTTGTTCTCTCTAAGTAGTTACATCAAATTGTATTCTGAGAAATAATTGATAAAAAGGGCAGAATTCACCTATTTTTCTTTTTAAAAAACCAACCAGCTCTGTTCTGCTAAGTAGAATTCCCTATAATATGAACTATATGCATTTAGTTTTACTTTCCCTCTAAAGGAAAGAAGAAACTTGATTTCCTATTACAGGTCCATCCTAATAATGCAGTTACAATGTATTTCCAGTTGCATAGAATTTCAACCAATCCATATAAATGGAAATTTAGTTGCTTAGATTTGCTCTTCATAGACATCGTTTTGGAAAACTGGATGCCAAGTGCAGTGCATTTTGCTGTGCTTGGTCCTGCAGGAGTAAGTGGCCCTGACTTAGGGCATATCCACAATTTTTCTGTGTAGCACCTGATGTAGTATGGCTACCATCTCTGGGATATTTGTCTATCTTTGGGGTATCTAACTGTAATTTTCACCTTGCTCACACTTTCCATCCCGGTTGCAGATGAGCGTTAACAAGCAGGACTGGATATAGGCCAGGTGGGGTTGCAGATCACGCAAAGGCAGCAGGTTTTGAGATGTTTGCGTGCCCAGAAATAAGAAGGAAAAATGTCTAGCGTAGATTGTTTGACAGCTGTGGAGCAGTATGGCAGTGGAGCATCCCGAATACCTGCAGCCAGCTGTGCTGGCTGTGTATGTCAGGATTGGCACCATGGAAAAGCAGAGAGAGCTTTGAGCTTTCCTCCCGGGGCTCTACATCAGCCATGCTTCTCCTTCAGTATTTGGTCTCCAACAACACCTGGTTTAATATAGCAGAGCTTGATTGTGCTTATTTTTATGAAACAAAAATGCTGTCATAAACGGGTTTTGATCGTTGCTGGTTGTAGCCGCAGTCGAGCAGTTGCTCAGCAATTGGATTTGCTGCCTCTTGGCGCTTTTTATATAACACCGCTGAGGCTCAGCGCTCGCATGGGTTACGCCAGGTCAGCTTTTCATTCCTTTCTTTTTTCTTTCTTTCTCTCTCCCTCTCTCAATTTTTTTAATCAAAAAGATTTTTTATTGGTGCTCTGGAAAAACAAACACAACACACCGCTGCGAGTTTTGTAACTGAACCAATAAAAAATGAAATTCACTGATGGATTCTTTAATAGCAGCGAGCGAGCCCAGTTTCTAAATGGATTTTATATTGTGCCGCTGTGCATAAAAACCACGCAGCGATAGCCCTGTGCTGGGGGGGCTGCGCGCAGGGGAGCACCCCCAGACCTCTTGTTCCTCATCCGAAGGGCCTCAGGTGGGGGTCTGGGCTAAATGCGCTCAGGAATGGAAGTTGCCGAGCCCCGGTGCCCTCAGCCTGCTCTGAAGCACACGAGCTGTTCCACTCGGTGTTGCCTTTAGCGGTTGCTTTTTGTACACCCCACTTGCATCTGCCCGAGGTATTGCTTTCAGAGCCTCAGCAATTTTTATAAAAGCTGTTTTAAACACTTCCCTTTTAATGAAACAGTCCCAGAGAAAACATTTAGAGCAAGCTTTTCAAAGCCATTTAGGAACCTCTAGGCAGGAGGAGGTGCCAGCTTGGACTCCTGAAAGCATCCCAGCATTTCATATTCCCCACCAGGCCTTTCGGAGGCTGTCCCAGAGCCCAGTGAGGACGAGGGTCGGGCTCAGGCTGACTTCAGGAGGAAAATCGCTCAGGACTGACACAAAACAACCCCGTCGCTTCGCAGCAGGCTCCGTCCCCATCCAGGGGATGCCCGTGGGGCGCCGGGGCACTCCTGCAGAAAAGGCAGCTCTGCCTCCTACCAGGCGCTGGGACATGGAGCACGACAGTGAGTTCCTGGACATGTGTTGCCTGGCTCCCAAACAGAGAGATTTTTGTAGCTTTTGAAAGCCAGTCTAAGATCTTGCTCCACAAAGCACCGCAAGAGCTGCAGAAAGCACTGGCCGGCTGCTGGCAGG